TTCATTATATATATGGTATGAAATAGTTCGTCAAAAACATTTATATAAATTACGTACTTAATAATATAAACTTTATTTTATATTTGCAATTAAACTTGATTAAAATACAGAATAAAGAAGCCAATCGAAAACCATAAATTAGCATAAAAACTTAACATTTTATTATGAAATAGGAAGAGGGAGTATAGACTAGTAGTTCGAATGAAATTAAAAATTCAAATAAGATCTAAGGATAAAATAAGAAACATATAAGTGACAACAGTTGTATTGACTTTTTAAGACGTAAAATCACAATACAGAAGGTAACGTTAAATTTAATTATTCATAGATTCATATCTTCCATGTTAACTGAAAACTCAATATTGATCATACGTTCATCAATAGAAAATAGAAAAGTCAATACCTCGTACACCGCAGTTAATCACATATTACAAGTGATGGAGGACTTAACACAGATTGACGGGGTGAAATACCTTCAGGCGTAAATGCGTGCCGAATGAAGCAAAGTGAGCAAAACTCATTCCCGAGAAATGCAAGCTGCAGTACTAAGTGCCTCCATGGAATGCACCAGTTGACGCATGTGTATTATTAGTTCGCAGTTACTATTTGTGGCAGCCGCAACACTCTTAAATAGTCGGAGACGAAAACGACTTTCCTTTCAGAGTTTCGCGGGCTGATTGGGGGAGTGTGTAGATCGCCTACCTGAGACTCGTTAACGATGAAGACTATGGATTTACCGAGTTGCTAGTCATAACGAGGATTAAAATATATGTCGTTTCTTTGTTGATACTTCTAATATCAATCGACCCGCGTGCTTTATCGTTATATTAATTATTCAAAAATCGACCATGAAGATTCGATGTTCAAAAAGTACTTTTATCTATCTTGACTAATGTCTAAAAAATTGTTGCTGAAAAATTTCTGATGGTAATCGGAAAAAAATTTTGTAAGATAGAAAACAATATTATGTACCAAATTGAAATAGTTTTCCTTAATTACATACAAAATAATTTTTAAATAATTTGTATATTATGATTTTATATAATGAAGCATATCAAAACATTAAATTAAACGAAAATACTTTTATCAATAATAAACATATTCTAAGTAATATAATATTAACGTTTGTAAAGCCAGACTATATATTTAGGTTCTTTGTTTATGAAATTCATTTTTAATACTCGATTTTTTCACTGAAAAGGGAGGCTCTTATTTCAATATGAATTAAATAAAATAATATAAAATTTCTTTAATCTATATGAAAGCCTTCTAGAAATCTTGTAATGTTTAAATAATAAAGTATTCATTTTCCTCTTTTATTAGCAAAATATTTAAAAAAATTTTAATATATAAATATATACTAACCTTAACAAATTTCCTATCTGCAAATCAAATGCAATTATCTCAAATGCTTAAAATTAGATCTATTAGATATCTACATAAATTATATTTTGTCTTTATTTGATTTATTAATTAAATTTAATCATTATAAAAATAAAATTATTAACCACTAATTAAGTTTTAAAATGTAGATATATATATGTATATATATATATGTAGATTTATATGTATATATATATATATATATAAAGCTACATTATAAAATATATATATATATATATATGTGTGTGTGTGTTTTTTATCTTGATAATCAAGATGACTACAACATGATGACAAGGTTCTACAGTAAACATTAATTGAAATCCATTTTTATCTTTAATGAACATAACTGTAATATTCTATTTTTACGAAATGAAGTTAACTTTAAATTTTTCAATGCACACGACAATGTTACAAAAAAAAATTGAAGATTTCTCATTTAATTATAATTACAAATAAATAGTATTAATATATTTGAATAATACATCAAATTTAAAAGAAAAAATTGTTAAAAATTTTAAAAATCTAAAAATATCTTATCTTATTAATACAAATTATCAATTAAAAACATGATTATAAAGATAGTGACTGTGATAATTATAATGATAATACGTTCAAAATACGAAAAGGTTATATTAATATAACATTACATAGTAAACTGTGTTTTCATATAAATAATAAAACATCCTAATGGTATACTAACGAAAAGTAGAAGCTTATATAGTATTTATAATTAATAGAAATGTTGAAATACTTGTAATATCATGTATATGTATACTCATTCACATAGGCATATTGCACAAATTTATAAATATTTTTTGCTTCGTTTAACTATTTCTATGAATATTACTTTAGTAAATAAAATAAATAGTTTATTTATCTAAGGATTAAGATTAAATATATATATGTAGGTAATAACATAATTAAAAATATTAACGAAATATTTTAATGTGAACTAATTAATTTAATTTATCATTGAATAACTATAATTTTAAAAACTTACCTAGTCTTTATTAAACATTATTTATAAAATTAAATATTATGTGTAATACAAATAATTTCATGTTATGACAGTTATTTAATATTAATTCTTTACTACTATTACATTTATAAAAAATTATTTTTTCTTCTACTATATAAAAGTAATTACAATTATAATTACAAAAAATTACTGTAAAAAATTATTATTAAATAATATTGAAAATGATATAATAATCAATGACTTAGTTTTTATTATGTATCGATTGTCTCATACCAATGATAATTATTGAAACATTGTAATTTACATATATTAAATTAACAATTTATAATAACATAATGGTGATTTGTTTTATTGATAATGTGTAATAATTAAATTATAAAATTATAATAAACGTTATAATTATACTGCAACCAATAGGTAATAATTGGAATCTAATTTTTCTTTCTCATTACACAAAATTAACTGACTATATAAAATGAATCGAATTTTAATTTATTCTAGATATGGAGTTTTTTTTATGTAGAATCTTTATTTTATCTTTGTATTACTCCAAATATTATTTATCTTTTAAAAAATGACCGATGTATTATATATATCAAAATATTTAATTTTTATATATAGATTGAAGTCAACGTAGTGCGTATCTTCATGTTTTTTCCTAACCGCCAATGATGTTGATTTTATAATAGAACAAAATTTTTAAATTTTGATTTCATATACACTTATACATTTAATTTAATAATCAAATATGATTAATACAAATTTATATATTCGTGTTTCCATCAAACAGCTTCTCTTTAAGAATCACAAAGTATAATTGAAAAAGAAACCTATAGTCTATAAATTAATGTAGAGGATGTAAGCGGAATAATTTTCCGTAGTTAAATCTTAAATTATAACTTTGGTTTCATAATTGAATATTTGTGAGTTAAAATGGATTAATTTTAAAATAAATTATTTTTAAAATTATATGTTAATATATACTAATCTAATCAAATTAATTTTTTAAAGCAGTTTATATGTTTATATAAACACTTTTTAAGCGTAAAATGAAAAATCAATGTGTTGACATTTCATTATAAAAATTAATTTTTTAAATTTTATTTAACTAAATACTTAATCCAAAGAGCAAAGTATTTTCAAAACGGTGATTTTCAAAATATTTTTTAAAATCGTCTATTATATAATGTCTTTACTCAAATTTTATTCCATTTCGATAACTCTTGTTTTTAACTATTTAATGTATCAAAACTATTCAATAATACAACTAATCGCTAAAAGTAATATATAAATAATTATATAATAACACAAAGATGTTCAAAGTCAATGATAGTTGATAAACAACTATAAACTTGGCACCAATCTTGACAATCTCATTACTGAAAAATCGGATATGGATAGTTTCTTATAAATCACATTTGAAAAGTCTCGGGACTTGCACCACACGTGTACATGCGGGACTCATCTTCATAATTTTGGTATCCCTCGCTGAAATTCTGTTTGAAACACCATCTGTCGCTCGACTCTACAACAACTTACACACATGCAACACTACCTGAACTATTTGCTCATAGGCTTATTCTCGCTCCACATTATACACGCTTAGCTGCACACACCCTCTACCACCTTTACTCTAATCCGCCAGCTTCTTGCCATCGCTCTTTTTTTATTTATAACTAAATATTTATCAGGAGTATACGTAAAGAAATTATTTCTATGTATAATTGTTAGTATATTCAATATATTGTACAATAAAGTTAGTGCATTTGGAGCCTAATATCAGCGAGTGGTATTAATCTACTTTGAAAGCATTTTTCTTGTATTCTATAAAATATGTAGAACATTGATGATGAAAGTATTCTTGTCTCTGTACACACATTGAAAACCCTCATATCTACTTTATTACTTATTTTTTACATACATTCTGTTTAATATATATTTTTTAATAATAAATTAGACCACTTGGTCGACTACATTAGGTCACTAATTATTTTTTCTAATTGGTAATATCCTGTTTATTTCATTTATAATATTTATCCAATTATATTACCAAATTATACTGTTAACATAATTTTTTAACTTTTACACATGTTATGATACCAAAAATTAGTCTCAGTAATTTTAATTATATATAATGAAGACTTTCAATAATTTTTCTGTAATTTATCTTAATAATTTATAAAAATTGGTTGAACATATGCTTAAATGACAATTCCTTGTAGAACTTTAAAATACAATGAATTTACTTGATTTTCATTTTCAAAACGAGACAATATATTTTTAATCACATTTATTAAGTTCATTCTAATTATATATTACATTTATATTATAATAAAAAAGTATATATTTGTAATGATAGAAGAATAAAAAACCATACATAGTTTTAAAAAAAATTACACTATAAATACTCTAAATATATAACTTTCTTGATTAATAGTTGACACATAAATTAGAAACTTGTATTAATAGGACAACATTAATATTTTGAAATATTAAGAAATCACAGAAACATATACAATCTACAATAATGTTCTTTTAAATAATACTAATTTGGACATTAAATTCTATATTATGAATATAATTATAATAACTAAAAGTTTTTAAGTCTTTTTATAACATAAATTTATTTAATACTCACCTCATCTACAGGTTCACCATTCTTTCCTTTTTTATATTTGTCCTTTGTGTTATTAACATCCTAAAATAACAATGATATAATTATTTACAATGAGTTAAAATTTTTAAATTTTATAACTTGAAAAATCTGAATCGTTTTTAATATTTATTATATAATTTATATTATTTTAAAATATGAAAATATTTTCAAGAATTTTTTTGAATACAACTGGACTTTAACCAAATGTAATTGTATGAATAATATGTTATTTTATAATATATATTGGTAACTCAGGTGAACTTTTATATTTCTATGACAATAAAAAACCGTTTGTTTATATTAGCCATATTATGATTATTACAATACTCTATACTCGTATAAGTTGAATATTAATTATTGAATATAAAAATTATATAATATTGTATAATATTTCAGATGATCATTTGTAAGTTCTTTGTTATTAATAAAATTTATTATATTACAACATATGTTTGTAATATAATATTTTTTACAAATATAAATATTACTTTACTAATGCAAGTATTTTAATCTTAACTTTTTAATGCATCTTGCCATTTGCTTATATAACATGTAAAACTTAATGCATTTCATTTATCTTTTAATTTATCTTATAAATAATTTATTAATAATGATATATATTCTATTAATAAATTATAATATTCTAATTGCAACCAAAATAATTTTTTAGAGAAAAATCATTGATTTAAAAGTGACAAAAAAAAATATATATTTAAATATATATAACTAAATATATATCTAAAATATTTATCTAAATAATAATCATAAAATGCATTTTAACTTTAATCAATAATATTAATTATAATATTATTATAAATAATTAAGATACTAAACATATACATGAGATGAATCTATCAAATTATCAAATTTGTTTACATCCATAAATAATATATTTAAGGAAAAATAATATCTACATAAATTTTATACTAAATAATATATACAAACAAATATAATTCAATTACATATCACTAATTTTTTTTAAAAACTTAAATAAATTCTGTTGTAAATCGTTAGAGAATATACAATAATTTAAAGTTATTTTATATGCTTAAAAAAAAATTTTTATTAGCTATCATATTTATATAAAAGTAATGACCAATCTTTAGAAAATAATAAAACAATAAAAATATTATATAAAGTGTTTAAAGTTAAAAATGGTAATAGTATGATTTTTTATATGAGATTGCTGACAAGAAAGTATTTACATGACTAAATAATGAAATACATTTTTAATTTATGAAAATAAATACCATTTTCCTATGCTCGTAAATGTTTGGAGAACAAGAAATAATATGCAGTGTGGAGGTTAAGAGGTTTGGTGGTAATGAATTTCAGGCAGCGACTCTCCTCTTCGTATTTTTTCCTGTGCTCTTACTCTTTCTTTTTCTCTTTCTCCCTTAAGACGACGTCGTTTTTTTCTATAGAATCCCAGGGATTCTTCGGTATTCTCCTTCAATGCTGCCGTCGTCGTCTTGATCGTCCCCGTCGTTATCGTCGACTTGGTCCTCGTGTTCGTCGTCGTTGTCGGTGCAGTTATAATGATAGTGGCAGTGGCAGTGGTAGTGGTAATGGTACAAGTTTGGTTGTGGTGGTGGTGGTAGTGGTAGCGGTAGTATAGAATTAGTGGTTATAGTAGTGTAATGGTACTACTTTGGTGATGGTGGCAGTGGTGGTTGTGGTTTGGTGTCGTCAACTTTCTACTGCTTCTTACCACGACCACCGCCGTCGTCCTCCTGGGCACGATGACCAGGCTCCACACAACACAAGAGACAAACAAAAGAGAGCAAGAGTGAGAGAGAAAGAAACAAAAGTATGTACAAAATGTACAAATGTACAAAAACAATGTGCTCGTGTGTGCTGAGATCCCTTGGCGTTGCTTATTTTTACCATCTCAAACGCACCTCACTGTTTATTCTTTAGCGTTTAGGCATTTTTACTAATTCGTACTCTTTATGCTGAAACTATCTCTCTCCCTTCCTCCCTCTCTGTCACCCCCTCGCGACAACTCTCTCTCTCTCTCTCTCTCTCTCTCTCTCTCTCTCTCTGTCTTCAACGTTCCGCTTTTCGCTTTCAAGCTCCTCGTACACACCATACACAGTTTAGCACGAATAAATTATCACAACACACATTCGTAGAGGCTAGGAATCTACTTCAGGAATATTATTGGACATCTATCTTTCTTTTCCTCTCGTTCTTTCTTCCAGATGTGTGGTTACACTTTTTCTTTCTCACTTTCTCGTAAGCACCGTTGCCGCCGCCACTGCATGCATGTACATATACAAACACGCGTACATTCCTCACGAAGTTACAGCAGTAATATCTGTGCTTTTACTATCTTCGCGAATTACAACTCGCACAACATACGTCCTCAAGTGGATTCAAGAAATGAGCCAGGCGAAACCCATTCACGATCTCGTACTGTAAACGGCATTTAATTATACAACTCTGCATCTTTACAAATCACACTTGTATGCATAGAAAGGAACGCATATCAAATTCGTATGTTCATTGTGTATATAACGTACATATGTAAACTATTAATACGCTGGTTAATGTTCGATCTATCCATTCCTTCTTTATGCCTTCAGAAATAAAAATATGAACTTAGTTACTTTAATTTTTTGTGATCAATTCATTATAAATTATAAAAGAGTTTTTATGTAAGAAAAACAGTAGTATAATATATTTATATCTTTATTGGCGTATATTTAATTATATACATTTGAGCATACGTAGGTACACATCCAAACTATTTTTACTTTTCCCTTGTATTTGTTCTTTCCCGCATGTCGTAAACTTTGAACGAGTACATGGTCTATGGGCCAGCACCATTGGTTTGGTGAGATTAGACATTTTTTCTAATGTATTTAAAATATTATAAAACATAATACAATTGTATTTTTTATATATACGGTTGCATTGCATGCACATATGTCTATAATCACAATATTGAAATTGAGATCATATTGATATATTTATTAAATGTAATCACTTTACTTTTTACACGAGAGTTCTAAATAAATATTCGAACGACTGTGACAGCTGATTACCAACAGGTGGCGCTATAATACGTACAGTAGTTAGGTTAATAAGCAATTTTAATTCTTTAATACTTAAAAAAAAATTTTTTATGGAAATGGTTATTTATATTTATTTATATTACTATTTAGAATAGATTGCTTTACAATACATACTTCTATTATTATTATTATATTCTTATTAATCATTATAAATGCGTAAATCATTAAATGGTTATTACTAATTTCAATGTTTTTTTAAACCTATTTAATTCGTTTTTTAATTAATTAAATTTATTATTAAATTTAATTAAAAGTATTTAACTCGATAAAATGGATTAATGTTTAACAGAATCCGCACTCTCAAAAAAAATAGAAACCGAATGAGTTAAAAAGTGCAAAAATATAAATTCCAAAGTTATATTTATCTTCTGATAATACATTAGTCAAAATTAAATCCAAGATTTAAAATTTTTTCTAGAAAATATCTTGTAATTTTTATAGAAAATAACAATGGAAACTGATAAAGTATAAAATAATCTAATAGATTTTTTTATATTATAATTTAATTATAAATAGCTAACATTATTGTAAAATATAAATATATTGTAAACTATTATATTTAATTCTTCGTAATATGGGTTTTATTCATAAATATTTTTACTCATTCATATGTATTTATTAATAGTAATTTGTATATATTCGTATTTTTACAATATAAATTAATAAATTAATTTGCAGAACTAAGAGTGTTTATTACAATTTGAATTATTTGTACAATGTGAAATTATATCAATAACATACTGATTCCAGTAATTGCTTTATTTTAATATTTGCGTTTATTAAACAACTTATTTAAAAATTGTACTACTTTGTTTTATTATAAAATAAAATATAATGATTAAATTCTAGCTATTCCTCTTTTGATCATTTGCTATACTTGAAACTTCCCAAAAACTTATACTTTAACTATTTATAATTACTATAAAGATGATTATTCAATTATATATAATTATATTTTTTTAATATAAATATAATTTATGCGGAACTCGTGACGAAATTTATTTTAACTATTTACGTATCTGCGAAAGCTGATTGTCAAAATTGAAAAACTCGAGTATAATTAATTCAATTGGGTAAAATTAAAATATTTAACAAACCTCGTTTTACAAAATTCTAGACTTTCACATATATTTTATCTTTACTAGGTCATGCAAAATATTTTCAACAAGCGTCATTCGGTTACAGAACGCACTTAAGATAAATTTAATAAATCAACTATTTAATAAACTTGTAAAATCTTATATTAAGTTAATCAATGAACGTACACATTAATACAATAACTTTGATTTAATAATCTAGCGATTTATTACTCCTGTGCCAGGAAAGCATTAACTATGGTTGTAAGGACGAAGTACTGTATATTTTAAAAATTCATTATATTCAAAAGTAAATGTATTTTTAAATAATTTTGTATGAAGTTTAAATAAGTATAAAATCAAAATTACTATAAATCAATTCTAAAGAGACTACCTTAAATGCAAATATCATCATTGTAAAGAAACTTTCAAATCTAATTATTAAAGAAAAGGATAGCATTGACCTGCCTTAACAATTAAAAAGAGAGTTTTTTTAATATCAAAATTAAATATTAAATTTTTTATATATAATAAGAGAACTTTTTAATTATTTATATTTATGGAGTTACTCAATTGCGGAATTCTTGTAATTATTTTATTCAACCATACTTTAGTACTAAATATCTAATTAAATATATCATCTTGCAAATTGATCAAGATCATATTTGAAAAATAATATAATATGATATTAAGTTTCTTGTATTGAAAAATTATTTCATATATTTAGAATTTATTAAGACTTAAATAATAATTTACGTATTTTATAAATTAACAATTAAACAATTCTACATGTAAAAATTGTAAATATAAATTACAATACAGATATTTATTTTCATCAATTTCGTAGAATAATTACAATAAAATATTTTAAACTTTATGACATTATAATAATATTATAGTATAGATATAAAAGATAAATGAATAAATTAATTAATTGAATAATAATTTATTTATACCTTGTCATTTTATTTATTCAAAATAATTGAAATATTTAATATTACTATTTACAATCATTTCACATATGTTCCAGATTATATTAAATAGATATAATATTGACAGTTATTAAAAACTTGTGGTAGTTTGAATATATGAAGGTAGTCAATATTTTAATGGACTTTCGAATGATATTTATCCTAAATTTCATCAGATGCATTATTGTGTGTATTATATTTGCATTTGAATTTGATGGTTTAAAATTCGAAGTTCTGAAACAAAATAGATTATGGATAAATATTTTTTAATTTTTCTAATCTGAAAAGTATTATTATACGTTAGATATTTATAATAATTAATAATTAAATAGTAAACAATAGTAAAAAAGAGATCATACTGTTTGCTTTTTAAATTATATGAATTCACATGGAAAGAGTAAAAGAAAGTATGCAACTGAATATAAGAAGATATCAATAAACGGTTGTATATATTTAGTAGTTTAACGATCATAGAGACATTTTTTAGCGATACACTGCAATAGAATTACAAAGATATTCTTGTCTTAAATCAATTATTTTAACCAAAGTTTATTCAAGTCATCCTTTTTATTTTGATAGCGAAAGATGTGTATATCAATTAAATAGAACCAATGCAATTTAATTAATAGATAGCATAAATTTAGATTAAACATGTTGTATGTACAAGATAGTTGTTTTATATATTTTTGCAAGTTGAAAATCGTATCCAATTAGTTTAATAAACTAAGGTTTTTGCAGTTAACTCTGTATCATAAAATGTCGGAAAACAAAATTTCATTATTGATTTTTATATATATAGAACAAATTATTTTGGCTAAATTATCAATATCATTATAATTATGATTAAGTGTTTCCTTAACTAACAATTTATTGATTAAAATCCTCTACGGAAAACTCCTAAATTATTGTGCTCTTTGTAAAATAAAAATAAATATTGAAAACATATATTGAAAGTCACAAATGATCATATATAACTAAATTTAACTAAATTTCATGATAATTTGAAATTGCAAAAATTATTTTTGTACATATTTTTATTATTACAATAGTTTATTACTTTATTTTTTTTTATATATTCAATTATATATATTATATAGCTAGTTATAAAACATTCAGAATAAAGAAATAAATAATAAATTTTAAGATATATAGCCTAATGAACATTAATAAGTTGTTAATAATATCGAAGTTTTAAGGAAAATATCTTGTTTATTTGTAATTATACAATTTTATATTATTATTAATACTATATTATTAATACTATACTCATATTATTGAATTTATTATTTAAATTCGCATTGATACTTTTGATAAATAACATAGAAATACAATAATAATACCATAAAAA